AGTTATCAAAAGTCATTGTCAATGTATCACTTACCTCTTTTTCTTTATGATAACGCAAAAATAGTAGCTTAGATGATGGTATAAACAGTTTTTCTACAAATGATGATGGCAGTTTTGTATTTATCTGTTCAACAATCTAAAAGAATAAGATTTTTTAAAATGAGCTAGTCACAAAAAGACATGAAGGTACCTTAAATGCATATTGCTAAGTGAAAGAAGTTAACTGAAAAGACTACATACTATATAATTCCAACTACAAGGCATTCCAGAAAAGGCAAAACTATGGAGACAGTAAAATGATCAGGGGTTTGAGGAGAGGGAAGGGGGAGGAGTAAGTGGAACACAAGGGATTTTTAGGGCAGTGTAACTATCCTGTATGATACTGTAATAGTGAATACATGTCATTATATTTGTCAAAATCCAGAGAATGTACAACATACCGTGAACCCTAAAGGAAACTATGAACTTTAGTTAATAATATGTCAATATTTATTCATCAGTTTTAACAAATGTACCGCACTAACACAGATGTTAACGACAGGGGAAACTCTTGAAGGGGAGAGGATGCATGCGAGCTCAGTGCTTTCTGCTCAGTTTTTCAGTAAACCTAAAAACTGCTCTAAAAAGATTATCTATTAATTTAGAAAAAAGTAATATATTAGACTATATTTTAAGGCCTTAACACTGTGACATTAAAGTATTTAGACACCTAAATAGAATACATGTATTTTACACTTAAACATGAGCATTTTTTTACATTGACAAAGGGAGATATAATTCTGGCAGAAATGCTCAGCAGAGTGTCATCTAGAATTTGCTTTAAAATAATGCAGTTGGAGATAAAGGGACAACAAGGAGGAGGCAGAGTCAGCTGCCTGGATGAAACCAGATGGGCCATTTGTTTCTAATTATAGAAACTGAGTATTAAGTATGCAGAGATCCATTATGTTATTCTATTTTTATGTGCTTCAGAATGTCCATAATAAAAGGGGGGGGTTGATTTATGGTTAAGCAATTAAAGGAACAAAAACTATAAAAGAAGTTTCATATAGGAACCAAAACATAACAGAGCTTTTCAAATTAGCTACCAAGTACCTTCTCCAATGTAGTATTTATCAGGAGTACCAGAGACTCTAGGATGAAAGATGATGTTTCATCAAAAAAACAAGTGAAGGTACACTGAGGTGAGCTATCGAACACTAAAAGTAAACAGATACCAGAACAACAGCATGCTAGATTACATAAATAAGACTGAGTTAATGTACTCTAAAAAAAATAAAGCAAAGGCCTTAATTTCTTCTACATCAATTTAAATGTAAGGGCCTAAATAAACCAGCACTTTAAAGAGCAATAAAAAAAGAATAATGCACATACCAATGTGAGTAAATTCAAGACTGAGATGATATAATCGGTACCACAAGTCTGGCAATTCTCCAGTTGGTCTAATCCATATGTAATGACCATGTCACAATGTATAGTCATGCTAGGATCCAAGCTGCCGAGCAAAACACCAACACACTCATTAGCAGCTGTCAACACAGCCTCAGAAAAAAACACTTGGTTTGCAGCCGTCACACATCTCATTACTCTGTACAGAACCTGCAAATAGGGAAAACAAGCAGCTTTGTAAAAAAATTCACATGCTTCCACAGAGCAAGAAAATATTTTCTATTTAATGCAGTTTCAACTGAAAATTAACTGCTGGCCTTGCCAGGAGTCTCTTAATATTCTACTTCTCAGTAGTTGAACAATAATATCTTCAGCACAATATACAAAAAAGATCTTGGCTTTAAAATTCCAAAAGTACTATTATGACAGGAAATGGAATTTGCCATCCTCTATTTCCCTTATACCCACCTTCCTCTCTCCCCAAAGTTACTAAATGGCTGAAGCTCAGAATGAACCTTTATCATCATAAAATATGCCAGGACAATAACGATATTCACACCATGGGAATAACCTGCCCACGCTTACTTCAATCTAGCTTCTTGCACTTTTGGGTAACCAGTGTTTTAAAACTAAACATCCAAGTCACCTTAAGCTTATTGAAGTTCATGTACTGATGGTCCCTTTAGAAATATAACTGTTCTTATGCTTACCACACAATACCTATTAAGGATTATAAAAATCACATCATTTCCAACACATACACATCAAAACGCCCACTGAATTATATAATGGTCAATGTTTATGTACTAAATTTCCAATAGAAATAAGCTCGGGCAAAAAAATAACCCAGAACAAATAAACACTGAAAAATATTTCTAGAATATTCAACAATCACTACACATAGGGTTTTCTTTAATCTATCCATAGGTTTTATTAAAATCATTTGCAAAGCACTAAAAGATCTTCATAAAACAATAAATTCAATATATAACTATCCTGGAAAATGATTATGTTCTTTACATTGCCTTTACTACAACTCTAACACATCTTCAAATAGCCACCTTTTAAACAGTAAAAATGAAGCAAAAATATTAAACCACTTTGATCAGGTTTAAAATATCAACTTACTGGTTTTAATTATCTTTAGGATCTGACATTTCTGCTCAAATACACAACTTACTAAAACTTACACTTATAATATCATATTTTATCTAGCAATGTGTTCAATAACAGTAAATACTCCTAAAAAGGTATTTTTATCCCAACAGTAAAATTTTAATCATTTAGATTAAATCTTTTATGAGTGCTGTATCACACATGCTTCTTATTCAAGCAGAATACAATGTCTGGGGTTCATGTCTCATGTCTATTACACTGAACCACTCACTGGACTCTACTATAGTGCAGCTAATGTTTGAGGCTGAAGTGTGGCAGACTAATATATATTTTAAATTTGTATATCTTTATATTTTTTGATGTCAGGCTATCGAAGAACATAAAGATGTACAAATTTCACAAGCATTTCATCGTGTCATGCTCAACAAAAATGACCTTTTGAGGCTTTTCCTACAGTGTGTTATTCTTTTTTTTTGAGACACAGTCTCACTGTGTTGCCCGGGCTAGAGTGCCGTGGCATCAGCCTAGCTCACAGCAATCTCAAACTCCTGGGCTCAAGGATCCTCCTGCCTTAGCCTCCCGAGTAGCTGGGACTACAGGCATGCGCCACCATGCCCGGCTAATTTTTTCTATATATTTTTAGTTGTCCGATTAATTTCTTTCTATTTTTAGTAGAGACGGGGTCTCGCTCTTGCTCAGGCTGGTTTCGAACTCCTGAGCTCAAACGATCCGCCTGCCTCGGCCTCCCAGAGTGCTAGGATTACAGGTGTGAGCCACCGTGCCCGGCCCAGTATATTATTCTTAATGTTGAAAAACTAAGAGGAGACTCAATAATATAAAAGTAAAATTACAACAATTATTATAAAACAAAAGACTAAGATTTTAAAATTCAGAGTGACCTTTTTTCCATGGGGGATGTGAGGAAGATGAGATATAGCAGGATTCCCTACTTTTCTGACTTAAGAAAGCAGCCAAACACATACATACATACATACAAAATAAGTAACATAGTCCACTAAGTAATGAGAATAATTTACAATACAAAACAATTTTATTTTTGAATGACATTTGAATTCCTAAAGACACTTACATCTGTTACATACGCCTCAGTAATTGGAGGACCCCGAATTGGGCTGAAGCGTTCCCCAATGCTCCTCACCACAGTACTAAATACCCGGAGAAGCGCTGCCAGCTTTGGTAATGACACCGATGGAGGAGGGATGTCTTCATCCACTGATTCCCCAGAGGCCACATGGCTGAGGTCCTAGGTGTGAATTCACAGCATTCTTATTTAAGTAGCACATTGTTTAAAAAAGAGAGAGAGAGAAGAACTCACAATTTTTAAATCATAATTTTAGAAGAGATTCTTCACAAATTACAAGGAATTCTGGCCCACAAGAGAAGAAAACATGATTCTAAATTAAAACAATGGGTTTTACATATCTAATTATTTAAATAAACCAACATTAAACCCAAGGTAACAGATTAAGGAATCACCTCTTATATCAACTCAGAAACGTACTGGGGGAAAATAAATTCTATTACATATGCTCTAGTTATATTAATACTATAGGTATAAACAAAGCCAGAAACTTTTGCCATTCCTAAATTACTTTTCTGTTAAAATCTCATTCTAGGTATTCTTTAAGCCACTCAACATTAAGTTCTCCACACCAACATTATGCACATGAAGAGAAAAGTGAAGGGAGGGTTAAAAAAAAAACTGTTAAGACCTAGCCCATAAATTTATAATCTAATTAAGGGAGTGAGAGATAAAGGAAAAGGTTAGCAAAAAAAATGGAATGCTAGAATCAATATATATCTGCATATAAGTAAACACCAAAATAACAGAAGAGAATGCAATCTTATGGACATCAAGGGGAATTGCTACAAACTAAAACATGTGGCTTCTGAGAGGCAGATCGGCTACAAAGATTGGCTAGTAAAAACAGACATTCCAGGTGTCAGGGCAAAGCAAAAAACAGAAGCAAAATATTTTCTTGCTTTGCTCTGAAAGACAGCAAACAGATGGATACAGTTTACAGTAGTGAACTCCTGTTGGCTACAAGTAGCAAAAGTGTGTTTTAAAAAAAAAAAAAATGAGGAGGCCAAATCTTTATGGAAGCCCTGAACACTAAACAAGAATTATGCTAGATCTGAATAAGAGAGAAACACAAAGAGATTCAAAGAGATGGCAGAGAGTAAAGCCAAGACCGTGGAGCCAGAAAAGCCAAGCACCAGTAACAGCCTTTAGCAGCACCCTTAAAGCCGCCACACTGTACTCGTACAGCTGCAAAGCTGGCTGAAGCCAAGGCTTGTCCTCCTCCAAAGCATGATTCAAGATCTATATAAGAGCAAAGTCTTCAGGGGCTTTTTTGTTTTTAAACAAACACAACATCAATTCACCTTACTTAATTTTAAGACTCTTGGTAACAAAAAAGAAGAATGAACTACAGAAAATGTATTCAGAAAAATACCAGCTACCAAGAGTATGTCAAGCTTTTCAAAACATCAGGCCTGCAATTTTTCTTTTAGTCTTTTCACTAATTGTGCCAGTAACTTAAAACATAAGAAAAAAATTAAAATATTGCAATGGTCTTGTGATTTCTGCTTAAATATCAGGTGATCTGAATTATTTTAAAATAAAGTCTAGCACAGTTTAAGATTTTTGGGTTTTTTTAATCTTATTATTTTTTTTTAAGAGATGGGGTCTTGCCATTTCGCCCAGACTACAGTACAGTGGTGCAATCACAGCTCACTGCAGCCTCCAACCTATGGACTCAAGCGATCCTCCCACCTTAGCTTCCCAAGTAACTAGGGCTATAGGTGTGTGCCACTGTGCTTGGCTAATATTTTTCTTTTCTTTTCTTTTTGTTTTTTGAGAGAGGATCTTGCTATTGCTAGTTGGCCAGGCTAACCTCAAGTCATCCTCCCTCAGCCTCTCAAGTACCTGAAATTACATGTGGAAGCTGCCAAGCCTGGCTTTTTTTTTTTCTTTTTCTTTTTTAAGCTTCAAAAGGATATCTTAACTTCAGATGTTTTCCTTAAATGAAATTTTAAGAAATAATTTAGCTTTCTATAGACTCACCTCAGCATATGCCTCCATGTCTTCTAGAAACTGACCAAGGAGAGTAGTAGAAAATGCAAGATCAGCTACCCAAAATGGCTCCAAACTCTGTAACCACCCTTGGAATTGTAATAAATTTTGAAAGAGTAGGAAAAAAACACAAAAAATACAAATTAAAAAATATTCAAGATACTTGTTTTTTAAAGTATCTGGTTTTTAATTTGCTTACCCTTAAAATATGCCCTATATCATAAATTACAACTATTAACTGTTAAAACATGCTAATCATGACTAACCGATGCCTTTCAATGCTGCAGAAATTAAGATGGAAATCTCATTTCCTTGTATTTTTAAGCAGATCTGGTATCTAAATTATTCCTATACATGACTTAAGACTAAAATGCCACAAGCTACCATCAGCCTGCTTTCTAACCCAAGGCCACAACTAGCCATCAAAGGCGTGTACTTGTCTCCCCAGTGGAAATGAGACAGAACCACACTTGCCTGAATATCCTATTTTCAAAAATTTATCGTACCAAATAAGCTAAGAGAAACTACAGCACTTGGAACAACCTGAAATGTGCAAATGAGTGGTGTCACTCATTCACTTAACTTCCACACTCAAAAAAATCCAAAATACATTTCTTTATCATTTATGACAATTCTCCTAGTTAATCTGGTTTTGTTGTCTTTAAATAACCAGAAAAACAACAACAACGAAAAAGTCACAAATAACTAGGATCTTCCATTCCATTCTACATTTCAGAGTATTGCCACTACCGTATCTTTCCATACCGGTACACACTACAGATAACTTAGAGTAAGTCCCTTCAGTTTCTCACAGGCGCAGCATTACAATCTGTACTTACTATCTCTACCAACTACTAACAATTTCCCACTGAAAAGATAAGTTTAGCTACAAGTAATGCTCATTTATAATAACCAAAATATTTCTCTGAAGCATTTAGTTTTCTTAGATTATTAAACAGTATTAACAGCTGGTCTTTGGGGGATCATGGCTCCTCCCACAGTATTTAAATGACTGGTGTAAGCGAAAAGACTTACCAGACACCTGCTGTGTGAGGGAAGGTTTCTGGGTATGATCAATATGCCATCCAACTAATATATCAACAGTATCCTTGATGGAGACAAAGAGAAAGGGGGCCAATCATTTTGGGGTCTTACGGCTATTCCACCTGTGGACCCTTTTATAGTAAAAGATCCTAGAAAGAGCATCTATGTTCTACCTGACATTACAGAAACTCAGAAAGGGGGAGAAGACAGGCAGGAGAATAAAGGAACTGCATTTATGACACAAATGTAATGGTTTATTTTCTTTAAATATCTTAAGGTATTAATGTCAGAAAGAAAAATACAGATGATGTTTTTTATAAAAAGAGTATTATTGTACCATTCAACCCTGGACTCTCAAATATCACTGATTATATTCAAAGAAACAAAAGCATTGTTTTCTATTCAATTCCTCAGTTCCTCCCACATACAACCATCGTCTCACCCCATCACCTGAAAACAGGAGTAGAGAACTCACCCTAAAATTAGTGCTGAAAATATGAGGGTAACATCGAGCCACCAAAAGAATGCACTTAACACATTTGCAAAGTAATTCTGGTGTATCCACATTTTCAAGAATGGACTGTAGGCTGGTCATTACAAGCTTAAAAATAAAAGTTACAAACCATGAACATTCAACAGCATAGAGTGAAAACAAGCAAATTGGTTCATTATTTACTAGTAACTATACTGAAAACTGATTATGATACCAAAGAAAATAAATTCTATAGTTGTAGTTCAAAAAAAGATTGAAAACCTTTCATTCCACTAAGATGTTAGGCTAAAAACAAATACTGTTTTCTGTAATGTCTGTTAACATTACCCCTTTAATATCAGTTAACGTTAGTCCTCAGTAACATCCATTTACCTTATTCCTAAGTGCTCCCATTAAATCACTAACTGTGATTAAGTTTCAAAAAGTACAAAAAGGGGCCTGGCGCGGTGGCTCATGCCTGTAATCCTAGCTCTCCGGGAGGCCGAGGCGGGCAGATTGTTTGAGCTCAGGAGTTCAAGACCAGCCTGAACAGGAGCAAGACCCCGTCTCTACTAAAAATAGAAAGAAATTAATTGGACAACTAAAAATATAGAAAAAATTAGCCGGGCATGGTGGCGCATGCCTATAGTCCCAGCTACTCGGGAGGCTGAGGCAGGAGGATCGCTTGAGGCCAGGAGTT